GTGTGTTGGTGGGGCGGGTGGGTGGGGGGCTGGGGTGGGGGTGGGGGCAGGGGTGGGGGCAGGGGTGGGGACAAGTTGTTTCTTGTGAAAAGCGGTCATCTCCTCTTAAACCCAAAGGGTGAGTTCCTCTTGTATAGATCATGTTCTTGTAAATGGAGTCCTCAATAGGGGGGTTTGGAAAGACATAGGCACCCTCATTTCTCATCCCGCATGGGCTTCCTTTGAAAACCAAAATGGCAACTTAAAAATTAGCACTCGGCAGTCAAATGGCGATGCTTGACTCAGTGGAATTTGGCTGGACTCCGCCAAAGTGGCACCACCTTCTGGTCATTAATTTCCCTTTCCTCCAGCACCGGAGCAAACTTGCTTTGTGAATTAACCATCTCTAATACTGTGGATGGACGAAATCCTGCACCGCCTAGCAACCTCTGAAAGGATGATTCTCCTGTAACCAAGTGGTGCAGGAGTTTGTCCATCCACAGTACCAACCGAGAACACAACACCAAAAAGGCTGCCTTGGCGACCTAGCAGCTTCCGTGGTGGTGGGCACATAGCTTCCATTTGGTTTCTTGACAACTGGAAAAATAAACAACTATTGCACGTAGTGATAGATTCCCTTTAAAACCAACAGGGGATTTGTTTAAAAAATATATAAATCTTAAGCAAATGGAAGATAATTAAGGCAGAAACTGTTTGCTATCGCGAAAGTGCCAACCTCACTGAGGGAAACGCTCCCCCTGGTGTCCTTGATAACTTCATTTTGTTCCACCTTAACGTCCCTGGTGCGTGTGTCTGGGCTAAACTCAACCTGAAATCTCCAATCATTTTGCATCATGAGTTACTTTGTTTGCTTCTGCTTTAGCAAGTACATGATACTTTGTTACCAAATATGTCCTCGGTCAACTCTCAATCCCGAACCTAAACTCAGTTGCCCAAAGGACCCAGAACTAAAAGGTGATCACCTTTTGGCACCTCTACCAAAAATGGGGAAGCCAACATGGGAAAACCGGCTAAGGTCGGCTAAGGCCGATTCGCTTTGGACCGAGCAAAAAACCCTTCGCTAAGATCGGGGTCCACGCCGCTCGCCCATTTTTTTCAAAAAGCCCTGGGACCCCAAAAGCGCCGCAGACGAGATCTCTGCCCAGGTGCTGAGCCCACCACAGTCGCCTCAGCTCGGCCCGGCGTGCGGCGTTCGGCGTGCCGCGAGAGCCGTGAGCCAGCGGTCTCTAGAAAACGGCTTGGACGTGAAGCTGTGGATCCCCACTGGGATCTTCATGTACTAAAAAATAAAACGAAAAAGAGCCAACAGGGGGAAGAACGGGTGGAATCCGCAAATAGCGCATGCAAACCTTTTTCTAGATTGTCGTTCTCACGACCGTGAAAGCAAAGTATCGCTAAGATGATGTCCAACCCCATGCAGGGTGCTGATTTGGGAATAAGGGCATTCTCAGGCATGAGTTATGGAGATCGGCTCATCTTGGTGGCATATTAGCCTCTCCCACCCGGCCGATCTGCATCTTCAGTCGAAGGCAACTTCTCCGATGGGATACCCAATGAACCGAGGGGAACAAGTGGCAGCCAAGATCAGTATGCAATCCTCAAAGCCTATCCCCTGCAAATTAACATCCCAAAAACAGATATTCCTCTGCAAATTGGTCTTTTTGGCTGGATTCCATGTCAATGTTGACCCCATGTTAATCATGTTTATAGGGGCGTGTCCGATTCTAGGTTTGGTCGGTCTTCAGACCACTTTTGGAGGGGCCAACCCCCCCCCCAAAAAAAAAAAACATAAACAGGTTGGTGGATGAAAATATGGGGTCAACATGCATCTGGCAGTCCCATAAAAAAACAGATACTCTTCTACAACTTGTTTTTTTTGGCTGGATCCCATGGAAATCCATGGAAGATCTGCAGGAGACTTGGCTTCTTCTGCCCCCTCGCCGAGTCGCCCCGTAGAGGCTCGGCACTGAGGCGTTTTGAACCGTATCGAAGTCGATGATCTTGGCCTCGCACCGGCCAGCCCATTTGGTCAATTAAGACCCCTGGAAGAAATGAGAGCAGAGGTCCAGTAGAGAAATCGATTCCCTTTAAAACCAACAGGGGATTTTGTTTTAACAAAAAACAAGTTCTTAAGCAAATGGAACCCAGCCAGCCCCCGCCAAGGCCTGCCTTTTGAACCCAAGGAAAGAAGCGCCCAAAAAAAAAAAAAACACTTGCCTTTCTGAGTCCAGCATCAAAACGCCACAATTGCAAGGGCTTCCAAACTACTAGCCTTCACAAGGATATAAATCCCGGCCAAGGAGGTCGCGTGCTGGTTCCCTTCCTTCCATTTGGTTTTTCGACCCCTGGAAAAAAAGGAGAAAATCTCTCCAGTAGTGAAATCGATTCCCTTCAAAACCCCCCCCCCCCCCCAAAAAAAAAAAAAAAACAGCAAAAACAACTCTCAGCAAGTGGAAGTTGCGCGTTGCTTGTTTTCAAGCGGGGAGAGGCTTGCTTGCGCGCTTTCGCGTGCACGTGGCGCGAAATGCAAAAGCGCGCCTGGAAGTCCTGCTTGGCCAGGACGTTCTGCAGCTTGATGTCGCGGTGCACGAGGTTCTGCTCGTGCAATGCCTCGACTCGACGACTTTTCATTCTCAAGATTACCGACCCACTAACCCACTAGGTCCTCCAGATTTGAGAGGTTAGAATTTTTGGGTTTTTGGAGCCCTGGAAAAAAAGGAGAAAATATGTCCGGTAGTCTGGGCTGCCCTCACATCCCCCGCTAAAAGTGACAAACTTTGAATTTTAGCGGGTTAAATGGAAGCCCCCGCTAAACACCAAGAAGCTAAAAGGCTAAGGAACCGGATGGCTGGGAGCCACCAAGCAAGATTACTTTGAACCCATTTTGATCCCCTTACAAAGCTCTTTGGTCATGTTATCCACCCGCAGGGTTGTTTTTCTGAGGGGCCCCTTGCAAATCCCTTTCCCTTGAAATGAACTGGGAGTTAAACCTATTGTTGTTCCTCTTACAGGGCTCTCTGGTTGTTCCATATTGTCTGGCATCTGATGGGTTCCATGTTATTCGGTGGCCATCAGGGAAAAAGCAAACGGCACGATTTTCTTGGAATAACTGAAGGGGGTCAAATCCAAATCCAAATCCACCAATCACCACCCAAGGGTCGCCTAAACACCTAGGCTGGAATTCGGACCACAGCAAAAAGTTATCTTTTTGCCTGGTTAGCGGAAAACAAAGGGACCCGCAAAAAAAAAAGGAGAAAAAACACAGCAAATTCTGGGGAAGAAACTTGGTCCCCCCCCCACCAAAAAAATGCAAAACCACAAGTTCCCCAGGAAGAAAAAACAAATAACAACTTCAAAACCTCAGCACCCGAGGCGCCGCAAGACCGCGGAGGAGGTCGCCGAGCACTCTGCTCCTAGGCAAAGAGCTGAAAAGGCGAAGAGCGTTTTCTTCACGAAAACGGTCCCCAGCTACACATCATGAGGAACCCCCCCCGTTTGGGTGACACTGGTTTCTTTCATTCCATTTACTTCCATTTGGTTAAGACCCCTGGAAACTACACCTTTTAGAAAATATTAGAATCATCTAGAAGATATCTAAATCAAACCAAATCATCAATCCCCCGTTTTGGGTGACACTGGTTTCTTTCATTCCATTTTATACAAGCAGACTTTGGACTTAGCCCCCCAACCAAGTCGACTTGCCAATTTGGCTCCTGAAACCCGCCCGGACTTGATAACTTGCTTGCCCTCGGGGGCCTCAGAAGTCTTATTGTGGAGAAACCAGATGTAAGGAGCATTCTAGGGGTAACTTCCCCATTCTTTCCAGGGATCCTTCAATCTAGAAAACCACCAAAAATCCTGGGGAAATGGCGGGTTTTTGAAAGGAACGATGGCTGAAAAGAATGGGGAATCAACCCCTAGAAGCATACATATCTTCCCACCTACAAACATGGCTTGGCGCAGCCGCACTGTCCATGTGTGCGCCCCTTTTGCCAAACATGTAGCTGGTGGAATTCATCTGCAAATCTTCCAAAACTAGGTCCTCCAGTAGAGAGGATAGAATAAGGGTACCACCTTTTTTTCTGTAGTCTTTTTTTACTAGGAAAACCCTCCCTGAAAAAGGGGTTAAAAGGGCACGTTGCTGGACAACTTAGAAAACCTGAAGCAAAACAAACCTCCGGTACAGCGCTTCATGGTGACATCATTTGACCCCCCTCACCCGGTAGGCTCGCCAATACACGGGCGAATCCATGGCGAAATGAAAGTAAATTAATAAATGAAGAACTAAATCAATAAATAAATCGAGAAATAACTAAACATGTGTATATAAATGTATGCGTGCGTGTGTGAATGAGCCACACACACATATAATATATATAGATCAAAGGGCATGTCACCACTCGTGCAGGCACCGCAGCAGAATCGGCGGAATGAGCTGGAGGCGCTAGAGTTAACAACAGACTGCCAGTCATATTGTCTGCATTTTGGGGGGTGCGGTCCTTGCAACACGGCAATTGAGGCTTTGGTATGGTTTGCAGGTTGTGTGTGCGTGTGCATTTTGATATGTAAGGCCTCTTTTAAGCCGTGGCTGCAACGTAAATATGCCAATCATGTGAACCCGAAGATCGTCCCTTCCACCCGCAGAAACGTCTCTACCTCAATTGGGCTCTGAACCCTTGAGGGGGGGGGGTTGCGCTTTGGAACCCAAGAGTCCGGGGATGGTGCAACGTCAACTAGGTCCTCCAGTAGAGACGTTAGAATAAGGGTACCAACTTTGTTCTGCAGTCTATTTCAGCAAAAGGGCACGACTGGGGACCCAGTCAACGAACTGCAGAGGGCTTCACCACACAAGCCGAGGAACACGCATGTTTTTGGAGCGCCGAACAGAATTTGGGGGCTCCCAAAACACGACGGCTCGGATTGCATTTCTGGGTTCCTAGAGGCAAACCGCAGCTTCCTGTGGTTTGGAGGACCGAACCGAGGAGTTTCCTACTGTGGATGGTTGCAAAATCCATTTCGCACCGCCCAAGAAACCATGGGGAACCACAACGTTTGGGGAATCATCATTTGCAAGGTTTCTTAGGTGGTGCGAAATGGATTTCGTCCATCCACAGTACCTCTACAAGAACCACAGCTAATCCAAATCTAAACCCCCGGCTCCAGCGGAAAAAACAAATCTCCGGGTCTTGCGCTCTGGCTACGTATGCTCAAAAACACAAATCCACAAACCCACGTTGGAATTGCCCCCAAAACTGCCCCTCTTCCCCGCCCTCATGTTGACCCCGCCCACCCCAGTTTATGAATCGTGGGGTGCTCCCTCCAGAAGTGAGGATTCCCCACTAAACCCAAAAACACGCCTAATGCACTGGGGTTGATTCATGCGGGGTCAACATTGCAGGCGTTCGGGGCGGTCGGTTCTTGGAACAAGTCCGTGGAACCATTCTGGGATTCTGAGCAGGACTTGGCGAAATCTACCCTGGCCGCAAGTGGTTGATAACCCAGGACTTGTCCAGCCATTCCGCGAAGACCGTTGAAGTTCAGCGAACCCTTAGGTCTTGGTTGCGTTGGGTTTGGGGAGCAAAAAAATAAATGTTAGCAAGTGGATTTGGATTTCAACCACTAAACCACAAGAAGATCAAAAATGGGAAAACTGTTTCCCGTTGCAACAACCAGGTGGCGGTTTTGGACTTGAGCCCCTCTGGAGTCCAGAGGGCTCCCCAAACCACCCTCTTTGACGTCCATTTGGTTCTTCGACCCCTGGAAAAAATGAGAAAATATGTCCGGTAGTGAAATCGATTCCCTTTAAAACCAACCAAAAAAACAAACATTAACCACAAATATTTATTTCAGCACATGGAAGTTGAAGGGAAGACGAGAAGTCGTCATGGATGCGGGGCTCACGTCCGCCGGCCCGTCGAAACTCCCACGAAAATGAATCCCAGGCGCGCGTGCTCCGCGGTCAGGGGCCCGCCACTCTGGAGCAGGGTGAAAAGGTCCACGCCCTCCACCTGCTCCATGACCACCTGGCAAGTCAGGACTCGAAAAACCACCCCTCTCCCGCCCCACTGCTAGGTCACTCCAGTAGAGAGGTTAGAATAAGGGTGCCAACTTTATTCTGTAGTCTATTTTGGTAGGGAACCCTCCCAACCAAAACAGGGTACAAGGGCACTACTGCGGGACCTAGACTGAGAAACAAGTAGAACATTACTAGGTTCAAAATGGGTGGATTGGGTCCAAAGACAGTCCCCAAACTCTTTGTTTGCCACTAAATGGCGCCCCCTTCAAAGGAAACTAACTTTACTTCGTTCTAAACTGGTGTTCTCGAAATTTGTTTCAGTCCCCGCAAAATAGATGGTTTGCTGTTGGTATCCCTTCAGTCCTGTAGATGCTCACCAAAAGAGGGCCCCTACTTCCTGAGTGGATTTGCAAAAAAAGGCAACCAAACTTTGCTGCTGCCAGTGACAAGCTCTTCCCTTAGAAAGTGACTGGTTGGCCACGACAACAACCCTTCTTTGCACGTGCCAGTGAAACTGTCTTCAAAAAGGAAGTTAAGCCCAGGAACTTAGGAAGTGGGCCTAGGTTCTAAATAGAGGTCCGCCCAACGAAGGGAGCTGTTGAAGAGCTGGTTTCATGCTTTCCCACACATGGAAAGGTGGTTGGAAGGGGTCCTTTCCGAGTCGAAATGTGTCTCATGATGTGCGCTTTCAAAGTTTCGCGCCACCCCACTTGGGGGTCAGCCTTGAAGTTCTCTTTCACCACCACCTTTACAGGGCCAGCCAAAAGACCAAAAACAACATGGCCGCAGCAAACTTGTTGTTGCAGCTTTCTGGCTGCCCCTGCCTTTAGGAATGTTGGTTGTTTGGGTGTTGGTTGCTTGCAAGCCAGGGGCTGCTCCTTCGAGCACGTGGCCGAAGTCCCAAACACGCCGCGCCTGAAAGCCGTCGCGTTCCTGGAGTGAAAAGACAAAAAACCTTCAGACAAAGGGCGTGGAATTCTGGAAGCTACTCCACACCAACTCGGTGGGCAAGACATAGGTACCCAAAATGGAACTCTGGCTGGAAACTTGGACTCAACCTGCAGTCCTATTTTTCCTCATGCCCAAACCCTCACAGCCCTGCAAGCCAAACAAACCCTCACCTCCCAACGAGTCCTGTGAAACATCACACTCGCCAAATATTTCTCTTGACGAGCTCAGGGTTTCTGCTTGCCACTGGCATTGACCAGAATGCCATCCAGGTCATACCAGCAGCTCGGACTTTGGCCAGCTCCACTTGGAGGGCAGATAGTTTGGGAACATAGCTGTCAGATAGTCTGAGCAAGAGGTCGATCAGCTTTTGTAGGTTTGATGGAAAAGCCAGCCTGAGAACCAAAACAATTCCCTTTGTCCCAGAATCATGGTAGCTGACAGGAGGCTTGTTGAAAGCTGATGTCCTGTTAAGAAGGCCTCCTGTCCACTTCCATGGGTGTGGAAAAGGGGTAAAGGGCCAGTTCTGAAGAAGGGGTGACTAAATTCATCCTTCAAGCCAACAACACGCGCAAAGGCTCTGGTGGAAGCGAACTACAAGACCCCAAAGGACCTCAAAAAAGGGGCGCGCTGACTTTCGTGGACCCTCCTCTCAAACAACCGGCCTGGACCGATAGAGGGTGCCCACCTCATAAATCATCTTGCCGGTGTTCAGTGGGGCATGAGGCAAGTGAACCTGGGGGGGGTCCCCTTACTTGGTTGCTGTTGACCCCTCTGCAAAAAGGTGAATAACTTTTTCCGGGGTTCGTGTGGAAAAGCCCAACTTGACTTCAACCAAAAAGTTAAAGTCTAAAGACCCGTTGCCCAATAGCAGTCAAGCTTCCAGGACACCCGATCGCCTCTCTCGCACCGATCGATCGATCGATCCCGGCTCAACAAAAGGTCCTCCACCAGATCGAGCACCTGGCACAAGTTCTCATGGGGCTCCATCTCCATCAAGGCGCGGCAAGATCTGCTCCACTCCCGCTCTTCTTCCTGGGATGTCAGGTCCAACGTCTGCTCACTTCCTGAGTAAAAATTGGAAGCCCAAGAAGTCCAAACGCTGCTTTTTACCACTAATGTCGACCCAGGATTAATATACCCGTCCCATTATTAGGGGGGTGTTCTCTCCAAAAGTGATGAATCCCCACTAAACGGGGACACCCCCATATTAATCAACCAGGGGTTTATTAATCCGGGGTGAACCGTCCCAAAAAGTTTTTCAAGCCCAGGAACTCAGGAACTGAGGAGTCTCCAGTCCGAGGTCGCCTTTTGGCATGGCACTGGCAACAGATTGGGCGACCCGGGTCGACGAAGGGGTCCTTGCCGGATGCGAACCACGAAGGGGGTCTTCTTCGGTGTAAGCCTTCTGGAATATTAAAACCCTTTTGAACAGGGTCGCCTGATAGATGGCGCGCGATCGGAACCAAACTGAAACCAGGGCCATGTTCAACCAGCAGGGTGCCCTTCTGCTCCTCCTTGGCGCATCACCGTTACAAAGGCAAATGATGGGCACAAAATGTGATGTTTAAAACAACCCAAAGAAATACGGGGACTGACCAACCTGACCTAGGACACGTTGCAGCTGCATGCCTCCAATTGGCTGGTTTGGAGGTTTGAAAAGTACCTCTCTGCATGTTTCACACGAAGCCCGCAAAGGAGCTCCCCTCCCCGAATGAAGATTCCTCAGACAAAAAAGTGGTGGTGAGTTGCAATCCGACACCAGTGAGGTGTAAGGCGACTCCCAACTGGACATGTTTTCTTCCACCATTGCACCTGACTCCTGGAGCAGTTTCCTTCCCAAGGGGTCATGCCAAGCGTCATGCGCAACTTCCATTTGGTTAAGATCCCTGGAAAAAATGGATTTCCAGTAGTGAAACCGATTCCCTTTAAAACCAACACGGGAAAAACACCTTCATTTCAGCAAATGGAAGGGAAGGTAAGCCTTTGCTTCACCTTTCCTTTCCTTGCTCGCAGGGGATGAGAAAGTCTGGGCTCCCAAGTCTGGGAGCTCCAAGCGTAGAGCAACTGGCCGGATTTTGCCAGACTGGAAAAAAATACCCCAGGCTAGGTCCAGATTTGAGAGGTTAGAATAAGTTGGTACCCACTTCTTTTTGTGTAGTCTAGTTTAGGAGGAACCCTCCAACCAAAAAAGGGATGAGGCCAAAAATAAGAGCAGATTGGGGAATACGTTTTAACTGAGGTTTAACCGTTCTATTTCTTGGGGGTCACTGGAAGTCTTTGACAAGCCATGCCAGACGGGCCAGAACCCCAGCATCCGGCTTTCACTTTTTACTCGGAGCAACTGTGGGAAATGACCACTTCTGTGATACGACAAAAGGAGCCTCCCAAAGACTAACCCCCCATATACAAAGGGGATTCCCTTGTATCACAGAAGTGGGGATAAACCCCTTGATCCCACAACCCTGGTTTGCTTTGTTTCCCAAAGTGCTTGAAGTTTCAAAATCTAACTCACCTGAGAGAAGTGCCAAACAAGTCCATGCGATTGCCGCTTTTCTTAGGCAACCCCCCAAAAGTGAGGAAACTGGAGAGCTAACCAAATGAAGGCCAAGTGCACTGAACAAAGGAATCTGCCCCCCTTTCTGCAATGGCCCAAGCCCAATGTAACTGCCCAAGGGACCTGGAAATACAAGGTGATGGATCACCTTTTGGTTGGCCAAGCCCAAAGAAAAACACGGGGAACCCAGTTCAAGGACACCACACGGCTCATTCCAGGTCCATTCGAAGGGGCCTTGCCGCGCCGGTGGCGAGACACCTCCAGCTCACGGCCTGTCGAGGCACGCGGGACCCGAAGAAGATCCGCTTCAGCTTCTTGATCACCACCGGCCGCCCTTCCTCAAGCGTCCAATGAAGGGGCACGGTGTATGTTGCCTCCACTTTTGGATGGAACTAAAAAGCATAAGACGAAAACCATCCACCTTTGGATGGAACGTTTTGGGGGAAAAATGAAAGTGAATTGGAAAGGGACCATACCAT